AGATTGGGGAAGCAAAGTTGATAGGGCCAGACCTTGTACATCAGGCTATGGAAAAAGTTAAGATCATAAAGGAGCGGTTGAAAACTGCTTAGAGTCATCAAAAATCCTATGCGGAGAGTTCAAAGAAGATGATTGGGTATTATTGAAGGTTTCCCCTATGAAGGATATTACGCGGTTTGGAAAAAAGGGGAAATTGAGTCCGAGGTATGTCGGGGCATACAAAATCATTCAGAAAATTGGCCAGGTGGCGTACAAGCTTGAGCTACCACCCGTAATGTCATTAGTCCACCCGGTATTCCATGTGTCTATGTTGAAGAAGGTAGTTGGAGATCCATCAGCTATTGTACCGGTTGAGACCATTGAGGTTAATGAAGAATTGTCATATGAAAAAATTCCAGTTGCCATTCTTGATAGGCAAGTCCGAAAGTTGAGGAATAAAGAAATTGCCTCCGTGAAAGTATTATGGCGAAACCAATAGGTTGAAGAGGCCACAAAGGAGGTCGAGGAAGAAATGAAGAAGAAGTATCCTTACTTGTTTGAATAGATGTGTAACCCTTTCTTTTTATGAACTAGTCGCTTATGAATTTAGTATCACTTGATCAGTTAATGTAAAGGTGTTCCTTTTGATTATGTGTTGCTTATGAGGCCACGGTTGGTACTGTTATGAGTTTGTTACGTCGTTGAGTTGTGCATATGTTTGTAAGATGTGTTTTTGGGGCTCTCTGGCAGGTGGATAGGCCTAGTTACAAAGGAAACTTTGGCGAAAGTTTTGGTAATTTAGAGAGTTAGTTAAATTTGGGTTTGCTGGTGAAGGGTATGATAACTGAGTTACACAAGATGCTAATAATGGACACTGATCCTCATTCGAGGATGAATGATCTTAAGTGGGGGAGGATGTAAGGCCCTGTAAAGTTTTTCCAAAAAACCCGATTTCCGTGATGCCAAAGTAGGCGTAGAAGTTTTTCCAAAAAACCCGATCGCCGCGGCTCAGACTTTTTGGATTGAACAGTGCGTTGGGGAGTTGAAGGAAAACGTTGGGCAGAAGTACGCATTTCTACTGCCCATTCTGCGGCTGCAGAACCACTCTGCGGACCGCACACTTGTCGCAGAGCGGGGCAGATTTCTAGGGCATTTTTTATGCTCAATTTCGCGGCCATTATCCGATCGCATAACCGTTTCGCGGGCCGCATTCTTATCGCATATCCAGCCTTGGAATTTTTCAGAGGGAGGTTCTGTAGTGCACTATGCGACCGCAGAATAGGTCTGCGGACCACATAGTGACCGCATACCAGGTTAGTTTTTTTCCAGTTTCGGCACCCATTTTTGCAGTCATTTCGCGGACCGCATAATCATTATGCGGTTGCATACGCGACCGCAGAACCCGTTCTAGAGCCTCATTTTTGGGGTTTTTAAACCCGACCCAATTCCGTTAAAACACACCCCATAGACCATTTTGAGCACGTTTCTGATATTTTAGAGTGAGAGGGAGAGTTCTTAGAGTGGGGGAGAAATCTTTAACCATTACCCATCAATTCTTGCTCAATAATTGAGGATTAACAAAGGAATTCTTCACCCTAAAGGTAAGAACCTATGCCCTAGCTCTCAATTTTAAAATTATATAAAAATAGGGTAATTAGAGAGGCAATTATTGGATGTGGGGGGGGGGAGGGATTGTTGTCTTGCATGCATGTATCCTTGAAGTATGTGGGAATATTGTGAGCTAAAAATGGTAGAGAGTGGGTTGGAAAATGATGGGATCTTCCACAAAAGAGCCTTAGAACCTTAATGCACACCTAGTATTAGATAAAATACTCAAATGAGCTAAAATCATGATCATCTACCTTCCTAATTTTTGGTTCAACTTGTTATATTTCTAAAATAGATTGAAGTTGCTAATAATTCCGGATCACTTTAGAGTTGAGAAGCTTAATTGAGTTATGTTGGCTAAACCCCCATCTTCTTAGAATCGAATCCCACGGTGTTCATGTAATTGGAGTAAGTCCTTGATCATTATTGAATTGGCTTTTCCTAATGTGGTTGTGTTGAAGGATGTTTGTTCAATGTTTATTCTAAATGCTTCATCATGTCATCTTGCCATTTGAGATATGTTCAAAAATGTGGAATATGTGTTAGGAATGTTAAAACTTCATGTCAAGACCAAAATAAAGGTTGTTATACCAAATTCTGTGAAAGGCCTCTATGTGCCTAAGATTTCCTAAATTGCTCATATGTGAATTAATATCTTGAATGGAAAGCCCTATTGATGTTGATAATGATAATGATACTTGAACGTGGAAAAGGGAACTGAAACTACGAAATACGGCCAAGTGCCAAGAATAACTTTGTAATTGTTAAGAAGTACGATGTGAGATGATTGACTGAAGAAGGGTAATGTCTCAAATGAGATGGCCTAGCCGATCGGGCCGAGATCGGACTCCGTGTAAGAACACGACGGTATTGTGGATGAAATTATGGTAATGTCTCAAATGAGATGGCCTAGCCGATCGGGCCATGATCGGATGCCATACCGCACACATGGTGGGACTGTGCTGGAAATTATAATGAAATTGTGGTAATGTCTCAAATGAGACGACCTAGCCGATCGGGTCGAGATCGGACTCCGTATAAGAATATGGAGGTATTGTGAATTGTGAAATATCGGTGCTAAAGATCACCCAACCTAATAATATAGAAATTGACTTGAAAACGTATATGATCCTTAACTTGTTATTTTAATATTATTTGAAGCCCTTATTGAATTCTTGATTGTTCCTCTTGTATTATTATTCATTCTATTGAGTTGGTGTTTAGCTTTACATACTAGTGCTATTCGACGGTACTAACATCCCTTTTGTCAGGGGCGCTGCATCTTTAAATGGATGCAGGTAGTTACATAGCAGACAGTGTTGATCATAGATAGTGTTGCATCCTCTTCTCAGCGGACTCGGTGAGCCCCATTTCATTCCGGGGTCATGCATTGTAACTTTCGTTTATATTGTGGTCGCTTTTGAGGTATAGCCGGGGCCTTATTGCCGGCACCATCTTGACACTCTTTTGTATCTGTAGAGGCTCCATAGACGCTATGTGGGTTGTACATGGGTACTAGAAAGGTCAAACGAATTACGTTGTGTTTTGGATTTTTGTTCCACTAAATCACAAAATGTATACCTTTTAAAACTTAACAGGAAGTAGCAAAATGAAATGGTTTGGTAATGTCTATGCATATGATTTTTCTACTGGTTAGCTAATAAAAACATGAATTCTCTTATCAGGGTGAGTTGGGTAGAAAGTATCTAACAGGTTTGCTCGGCCGGGTTCACTCGGTTGAGCGCCGATCGCGCCTCCCGAGGTTGGGGCGTGATAAATAGTTTTAGATTCTTAGTTAATTGTAGTTAGAAATCATAGAAATCTCAATTGTTGATCATCTTGGATAACAATCAAGCTAGAAACTACAAGAATACTGTTAAATCCAATCCATGTGGATACAATATTATACTATACTATATTTGACTAGCAAGCATAATTTAGGTGTGTGTTCTGAGCTCGTCAGTAATACAACAACGCAGCCAGCAACATCTATAATAAGTTTACAACCCAAAAAATGATACAACGAGCGAAAAGCTCGGCTACGATTATCCATACTTCTCCAATCTTTTCTTTCCTCCAAAACACATATCAATGACTACACCAACTATATACTCAAGCTACTCCAACAATTTCCAGCCACAACACAACTTAGAACTTGCCGAATAGTTGATACAACAACAACAACGTCAAAGTACGATTTCTCGCTATTAACTCCATAATTCTCATCCCACAATTTAGCTATGACCTAGACAAATTTAAATATACCAAGGAGAGAAAAATTCTTACCTTATTTGTTAAAATACTCTTATTCCACCTGTCACGCCTCCTTTTTCCCGAGGAGATAGGGGAATTTTTCTAATTTATTTAATTTAGAGTCGCCACTTGGGATAATTATGGTGTCCCAAGTCACCGGTTTATTTTTAAATCCCAAATCGAGGAAATTTGACTCTGTTCTAAAGTCTGCGAAACCAGAAGACCGGGTAAGAAATTCTGTTAACCCGAGAGAAGGTGTTAGGCATTCCCGGATTCCGTAATTTTAGCACGGCCGCTTTTAATCATACCTGGCTTAATTAATTTATTTAATTATGTATTTTAAACCTAAGTACATTTTACCTTTTACCGCTTTTAATTATGGCGTTTATGGATTTAATCTTTGAAACGGACTACATGTGTGTAAGTCCGCTTTTTGGGGGCGCTAAAATCATGTCACGCGAACGTGTACACAATTAATTACGCTTTATTAATTTAAGATTATTTTTTGCCAAAGTCGCGTGAACGCGTACCTTAATTTATTTTTAAAAATTATAATTATATCACGCAAATGTATACACAATTACGATGATAAATTATAACGCGCCTAAAATATTCTACGATGTTCAAGCTATTAATTTCTCTAAGGTTCGAAATTTTGGCAGAGATTATAGATTCTGGAGTCATTATTGACGAAAGAGAGTATGGTATTATATACTAGTATTTTTAACGGTGGGAACGTACAACCAACATTCTATATGTGTCTGTTGGGGATGGTGACATTTATATCCTAGAGATGCTTCGATTTCAGTGTTAATGAGGTTAAAGTTCAGGTCTTTACTTAACAAGATTCAATTGTGTGGGCCAAGATTTGATTTAAGTTGAATTATCAGAAAGATGGGTGGAACTAAATTGGTCTGGCCTGGTCTACGACTGGGCTTGGTAGTTATGGAGTCCAAATGACCCCAACTTATGTATCAAATCAGCATATGTATGTAGCAAATTTAATTCCTACTTTAAAGTTTTGTGATAGATCCTGGGCCTCCGAAATGAGCCCAGTATACCCAATTTGAGCCACACCACATTCAAAAAATTCGGATAAATAGTTGGATTATAGGAGCATGAAATCAATAATTTAACATACCTATGAATTATCAACCTAGTTTGATGAATTAACATGCATATTCAAAAGTCCATACTACCAGAAATTTAGTTATGAGAGGAATGTTAATTCAGTGCTGGCATTCGACATTTAAAAGTAAATTAAATCTCAGAACTTACAAACAAGATACATCATCTAGATCATAACTCGAATTTAAACACAAGAATCAGTTCCTAGTTTACACTTGACTAATAGCTATAAGTTTCGATTCTTCTGGGAAAAAAAAACGCTGCTTTTCAGCTTTCGTCCACAGTTCATAATCCTTGGACCTGTTCACTTTACATTTTTTCATCCTCAAACATGTGAGATGCCAAATAAAGTATTAGAAGCAAATCAAACTAGATTAACTGTATTTCATAAAAATCAAGCTCAATCATGTTTATCAAATTCCCTTGGACCTGTTCACTTTACATTTTTTCCTCCTCAAACATGTGAGATGCCAAATAAAGTATTAGAAGCAAATCAAACTAGATTAACTGTATTTCATAAAAATCAAGCTCAATCATGCTTATCAAATTCCCAACACTCCACACTTATGCTAAACTAAATCAAAAACCCATAAGCCATAACACAACAAAAGATTCAAAAGGAAAACAATCATGATTTCATATCAAAACACACTGCATTTATGTCATGCCAGCATTAACATAGAACCAATGAATTCAAACAAAATTAAAGAAGAATCTAAAAACAAAAACAATCAGGATTTCACATTAGAACAGATATGGAGATTTGAACTTGAATTTTAGCTACATACCTAAACATGAGCTTAGTCTAGAAGCAGAACTTGCCAAATAAAGGCCCAAAATCGAAATTTGGAACTCGGCTAGTTTAGAAGCTGGAACAAAACAAACTCGGACAGCAGCCAAAGAAAAGCGAAATCTACAAATTGGAGCTCAGCTTCAACTGTATCGAGACAGAGATCAGCAAATCAAGCTCACAATCAAACAGTTTGTCACGCCCCAAAATCGAGGAGCGCAACCGACGCTCAACTGAGTGAACTCGACCGAGCGAGCCTGTTAGATTCCTTCTACCCAAACTATACAACCACAACATAGCATAGTTTGTCTCTCCCAGCACCAATACACAACCCACACTATGTCTACGGAGCCTCTATAGATAAAGAAGAGTACAATGATAATGCCGGCAATAAGGCCCCGGCTATACCTCAAACAGAATACACAAAGTACAAAAGATTCATGACCCCGAAATGAAGTGGGGCTCACCAAGTCAGTTGGGAAGAAGGTGCACTGCTATCACTAACCAATATCTCCTGCTGTGGAACCACCTGCATCCATTGAAAGATGTAGCGCCCCGGCAAAAGGGACATTAGTACTGCCGAATAGCACTAGTATGTATAACTAAACACTCTCTCAATAGAATGACAAATAATACATACAAGATTATCATAATATCAAAGGAAGCTTTAATCAACATCGATATGCCATTATTCATAATACCATTATTCCCCATACCAATACCACCGTACTCTCAGCACGGACTCCGATCACGACTCGATCGGCTAGGCTATCTCATTAGAGACATCAACCACAATTACTCTTAATATCAATACCACCGTCTTTAACACGGAGTCTGATCACGACCCGATCTGCTAGGCTATCCATTAGGGACATCAACCACAATTACTATTTCAATTATAATTTCTAGCACAATCACCACCATGTGTGCGGCATGGTATCCGATCACGACCCGACCGGCTAGCCTGTCTTATTTGAGATATCAACCTTTTTATATCAATCATCGCATTTCATATTACTTTCACATATTTTCATTTCATTGGCACTAATGGCCATAATTATAAGATCATTCTTGGCATGTTGACCATATTCAGTATTTCATGCTTACCTTATCAATTTCAAATATCATTATCATCATCAACAACAAATACAATTCAAATCAAGGTGTGTAGTACAGATGTGAGCATATAACATGAATAAAGCATTTGTAATGCTTGTTGAACATATATCTTTCAACCCAATCTTACTCGGAATAGCCAGTTTCATAATGAATCACTCGGGACTTACATCATTTACATGAATATCGTGAGATTCAATTCTAAGAGAAGAGTTTAGCCAATATACCTCAGTTGAGCTTCCTTAAACTCTAAAATATTCCGGAATTCTTAACAACTTCAATCTATTGTAGAAATATAACAAATTGAATTAAAATTATGAAGATGATCATGGTCCTAGCTCATTTGAGCATTTATCAAACACTAAGTGTGCATTAAGGTTCCAAGGTCCTTTTATGGAGAATTCCATCATCCTACAACCCAATCTTTATCATTTTTAGTTCAACAATCTTCCTACACCCTTTTATAGCACATACATGTAAATAAACAACCCTCATGCCCAGAAATTATCTTGCTAGTTGTCTATTTCTACATAAAATTCGAAAGTGAGGGTTAGGGTGTAGAATCTTACCTCTAGGATGAAGACCTAGTGAGTTTCCCTTCTTAATCTTCCAAAGCTTGGGCAAGAATTGAAGAACACCTTCTCACTCTAGGGCACTCTCTCTCACTCTAAAATATAAGATTATCGCTCAAAAATAGCCCAAAGAGTGTATTTAACGAAATAGGGTCGGGTTTTAAAAACCCAAAAATGGAGCTCCGGAATGGTTCTGCGGTCGCATATGCGACCGCATAGTGGTTATGCGGACAACACATCGGTCGCATAATTGCTGACAAAATGATCAAAAATCTGTCTGTGTATGTGATCACTATGCGGTCTGCATAACTGTTATACGGTCGCATAATGCACCACATAACAGTTATGCGGTCGCATAGTCGACCGCATAGCTGCTACCAGATTTGGCCCTCTCCTGCTCACTTCTGCGGTCATTATGCGGCCCGTAGAGTAATTATGCGGTCGCATAATGGACCGCATAAACGCGCTTCTCCGCCAAAAATTTTCCTTTACTTTCCGGTATATTGTTTAACCCAAAAAGTCCGAGCCGCAGCGAGCAAGCTCGCCGCGAAGAATTTCTACAATCCTCAAATACATAAGCCTAGTCCGGCACCATGAAACATTATTTTCTTTGCAAAATTTACCGAGCTTTACACTTAAGTACTTCAAAATTTGTTCGGGGTGCTACACAGTTCCAGCAGCTTTAAAGTTGTTCCAAATCCCAGAAGAAAAGTAAAGCTAAGCGGTGAAAATAGAAGGAAAAAACAACAACTCTGTCTCCTCTTTCTTTCCCTTTTTTTCATTTTTTTTGCT